GCAGGTGCGGGTCTGGCCAGCAGGTGCGGGTCTGGCCAGCAGGTGTGGGTCTGGCCTGCAGGTGCGGGTCTGGCCAGCAGTGTGGGCCTGCATGCCTCCCCTGGTTGGAAGCAGCGCTGGACAAGCTCCCTTTTAGCCCCCGGGCTACTCGGTTTCCTGGTGGTGGATGGACTGTTCAGAACCGCTGCCCACCTGTTGATGGGGTTGTTTTACTGTTGTCGAATTATGTGAGTTTTTATATTTTGGGTGACACTTTATTCCCTTCATTTCCAAGGCAGATCAGGAGCGGTGCCGAGAAAAATTTCCTTACTAGATGACATTTCATCGCAATGTCCGATCGTTTGGGGCAAATAGCCAAGGGCAAGGATGGGAAAAGCAAGTACTCGACGCTCAGCCTGTTTGACAAGTATAAAGGAAAGTCAGTAGACGCAATCAGATCCTCAGGTAAGAACGGGCTGGAGGCCGGCTCTGCACCCCGCAAGGGCTCGCCCGGGCTCTGCAGCTCCAGGGCCGTGTCCCGCCTGCCCGACGGCGCGGGCCTGCAGCCGTCTTCGCGCGTCACCCGCTGCTCCTGTGGGGACTGATTTCAGGGCCGGATGTCCCTCCTGGGCTGTAGTGGGGTGAATGCTCTGCTGAACTTACTGAAGCATGGGTAGTTTTCGCCCGAGGCTCTCAGCCACCCTTTCTGCAGCAGCGTGCGGGGTCACCCCGTTTCAGGGTGGTGGTCCTATGTCCTGGTGCTTGGTGGGAAAGTTCCCGTTGGCGCTTGCCCTCCGGGAGGGCTCGGTGGTGGACCCGGGGAGAGGCTGCCCATCTGGCGGTGGAGCCTGGGGTCGGTGGCGTGTGAGATGGAAGCTTCCGGGCCTGGCTTCACCCAGGCGTAAACTTGCTGAGCCTTTGGAGCCTCTGCGGTTTCAGCAGCTCCTGTCTCAAGGCCTTGGTGAGGAGTCCAGAAAGTGACCAGAGGGCGAGCCGAGCACTTTGACTGCCCGTGGTCGCCCGTCGGCGTGGGCGGGCAGCGTGTGGATGCAGCCCCTGGCCTTCGGGCTCCGGCGACCCGCCCTCCCCTTCTGCAGTTATTCCTAGACATGGCCTGCAGAGTCTTGGGAAAGTCGCCACAGCCCGGCGTATGCCGCCGCCTGCAAACCTGCCAAGCTTGAAGTCTGAAAACAAAGGAAACGACCCCAACATCGTGATAGTACCCAAGGACGGGACGGGATGGGCAAACAAACAGGACCAGCAAGACCCAAAGAGGTGAGCACGGGCGGCTCCGGGGGCTTCCGGTTGCCCCAGCCCTTCCCTCAGCAGAGGCGCCTCGGGGAGCTGCTCTCGCCCGACTCCTGCTGCTCGCCCGCTTCTCGCTCCCTTCATCTCTCCCCCGACTGTTGGAGCCAGTGCAGTGGGGTGCCTGTGGGCTGTATGCCCCTGACCAGTGCCCCGAGCGGCCATTAGGGAGGCGCGTCGCCCCAGAGGGGCTCACGTGCGGACTTGGTTTCTGCGAGACCGGGTGGGCAGTGCCGGTGCTAGAGCAGCCTGGTCCGGGGCTGGGCGCCGGGCCAGGAGACGGCCGCCCCCCCCCCCCCCCCCGGGTGCAGCTTCCCTGGGTTGGCCCCAGGGGGTGGGCCCTGGCCCACGGGCGGGCTCCGAGGAGGCCTCCCTGGCTGCGGCCCGCTCTGCTCGGGCCCCAGACGGCACTGCCTTGGCCCCGGGCCTACTTCTCTCTCCACCGGCCTTCTCGGACAGGCTCCGGCTGGGTAACGGGGTTTGGGATTTGTGTTGGGGGCCCAAGGAGGGACAGGGTCTCACTGAGGCCAGCGGGCAGAGCCAGCCCCTGGGGTCTCCCTGTTGGCGAGTGAACACGAACACCCTCACACCCCCGCCTTCGGCGCCTCACTGCCCTGCACCCCTGGCCTGACTGCTGATGCCGGGGTCCAGAGCCCAGAGAACAGCTTGCCCCTGGGAGTGGCCGTGGTGACACTGTCCTGTGGTCCTTTGCACAGGGTGTGCTGAGTGAGCGGGTGGTTTGGTCGGATGGGCAGAAGGCGTCTCGAAGGCCGTGTAGCCCATTTTTCTAGCCGTTTGCCATAGGCTGGTGCTGGCTGATGCACCGCGTGCTTTTGGAATGCGGCAGATGTGTGCAGGATTTCTAGGCAGGCCATTTTGGAACTTTCTGGGAGCTTCAGCGTCTCCTGCGAAGTTGGAATCGTGGCTGGCTGCAGCAGTGGTTACAAGAAACAGGTGTAGTAGTGCCCTTCAAGGGCACGCCGGGAGCCTGGCCCGGGGCGGGGCGGGGGTGGTGGGCGCCCGCCGTCGGCGCTGCGGACTCGGTGACAGGCGTTAGTTTGGCGTAGGGTTGAAAGCCTCTGCTCCTCACAGTGCTAGGGCGTGGACAGAGCCCCTCCTTTCATCCTGTCCTCCCTAGCACTTGCCTGGAAAAGGCCAGCTCGGCAGCTGCCGGGCCTGGTCAGGCCGCACGTCTCCAGGGGCAGGGGGCAGGTGCTAACTAAGCAGGCAGCCCCAACCTGGGTCTCGCTACCCCGGCCAAGTCCCCCAGGATAGCAGGGAGACGGCGGAACAGGAGCCACGAGTTTGCACTCAGTGCTGGTTTGGAGAACAGAGTTGGCCTACCTGGAACTTCCAGCACGGGGGGATCGTGAGGTGCGGAGGGTGAGGCCCCGCCGGCGGGCAGGGTTGGGCGTGGAGATTTCAGCCCACCTGGGGCTGCTGGCACCGGGCTGATTCTGGCCAAGTGGACATGTCCTTGAGTCGCATAGGGTGGAAGGTTGAGTGGAGGAGCGTGGAAAGTGGAGACAGTAGGAATCCCTTGCAAGAGTGGGAACCGATGATGGCGCCTTTCTGAGGGCAGTCTGGCAAGAGCTTTTAAATTTCAAAACATCTTCTGATCCAGCCGTACCGTAAGACCTCACACAGCTGAGTCGCACAGACGTGTCGAGGAAGACACGTGACAGGCGGCTTGAGCAGGTGACCTGGAGAGGGTGGCCCGTGCCGCCAGTTGTGCTGTGTGGCTGCAGGGGCCGGGGGGCCCGTGCATTGCCGTGCAAGCTGTGATGCTGCAGATCAGGGGTCACTGCATCGTGGGTGTGGCGTGTGCCCACGTGTGTGGGGACCGGGCAGTCAGGGGCACCCACTGGCCAAGCTCAGTGCCCATGTCGTTCACGGGTCGCTGTCAGTTTTTCATCTGTGTGCACAGTTGCAAGACCCGTCAGGCTCCGGGAACAGCAGTCCAGGGGTTCCTGACAAACAAGGGAAAACGAGTCCCTGAGGCCACAGTGGCCGGTCATCTCGCCCCAAGTAGAGTCCCGGGTCTCCAAGCCCCAAACAGAAGGGGTCTGGCGCGGCGTCCTCCCCCAAGGAAGACCTGGGGCAAGTGCCCCAGCCCAGGGCCACGCTGCGGAGTGGCACCTTCCTCCCCTGAAGAGCTGGAGCCTTCTGAGC